TTTCGAATTCTGGTTCAGGAACTACGACGTTGATGCAGTGCATTGGAAGGGAAGCAGGACTAGCAGATGATGGCCTGTATGCATCATTGAAAGATGCTGTCTCCGCGAGTTCTTCTCGGCGCTGTTCTTGCTGCTTGTACGCGAGAGCAACTGCGCCGGCAGGTGTCAGCCCCCCAGGATACGGTACGCTCTTCGACGAGGGGACGGCAGACATCGACATTTTCCGCGTGTTGAACGAAGCAGAACGATCAGTGGCCGGCGCCGTAGTCGGGCGGGAGGAGAACGAATGAGTGACGCGTTCCGTGCGCGACTGCGGCTTGGGGGGCGCCGAGTGTAAGGCGGGGACATTGCCGTCCGCTACGATCTGGAATTGATTTGCGGTGGGCGTGCTCGGATTCGAGCGCGCACTTGGTCTTCGTCGAAGCACGTTGCGCGAAGACTTGGAGTGCTGGCCGTCGCTCGTTTCCGGTCTACGATCTGGCGAAGGGGAGGGCCGTTGTCGTGGTGCGGGGCTAGAAGGGAGACCTATCGTGTTGACGTGGAGCGAGACCTTCTCTCGGGGAGGTCTGGGCTCTTTCAACAGGGGTGCTTGAACAACTGGCTCGCTCGGGCGACGCGAGGGGACAAAATGACTGGATGACGCGGCGGACCGCTCGGAGTCAGAAGGAAGAGAAATCATCGACGACGTGCCAGCTGTTTGCTTTGCAGGCTTGCTCATAAGCCGTTTGAAATCGAGATGCCCGCTGGCGTCACGTTCCGAATAGGGGGACGTCTTCAGAGAACTAGTCGCCGAGAATGAGCGAGAGGTGTGCAAGGTTCGTGCGGGGACCACAGGGCTATGCCGTGCGGAGAGCGACCCAGAGCCTGACGGCTGCTTGGAAGAGCTTGGGGAAGGAAGGAAATCTCGCGACTTGGCGCGTGGTGATGAGCGGGAAGGCGATCCCGAGTCCGACAATGAGCCCGAGCTGAGCATCGCGTCCGAAACGCCGAGGTAGTTATGCGACGGCGACGTAGTGAAGTCCCCAACGTCCGACAGCCACGACGACGTCTGGGGCATCGAGGCGGACGGTACTGGCACACGGCGGGCGGTGCGCTCGCTGAGGCGCGAAGGATGGTAGGATGTGGACTTGCTGGCCATGTGCAGTCGTGTAGTGTCCATGGGGCGGAGGTGGTGATTTGCAGGTCGTGGGAGGTCGTACTGTGCCGACATGCTGCTGCTGCGAAAACTATGGGGGTGGTCAGACGCTACTGCGTCCCAACTGGGGCACGTCGGACGGGACGGGGCACTCACGTTCAGAAACGGCGCAAAACGTCGCAAGCAAGAGAGAGTCGTCGAGACTGTCCGAGCACGGCTAATAAGGCCTGGTCGAAGTGAGGTGCGTGAGACAGATGGACGTGGCCGGGGCATACGGGAATCACTCACATAATTACAGCAAAATGAAAGCCGTCCCACCGAGGCCGAGAACGCGCGGAGAAGAGCGCGACGACGCGTGCAGGAAGTCGTGAAAAATCAGCACGTGTAGGTAGGTATGGCAATCCGGCGAATGAGCGCGTCCAATTGGTGATGTTTTGGGTCTCAGACTCAGAGCAGGGCTACGAGGACGGGGAAAATTGGGCAGCAACGGGGGCAGGGCGACGAGGAGGGAGAAAAGACAGAACAGGGCGACAAAAGAGCGTAGGGAGACAAGGAACGGGAGGGGAAAACGAAAGTGGAACAGCGGGCGCGCTGGCGTCGTCGTCGTCGATGGCAAAACGAGTTTCCCCGGGCCGCGTGCCTGGACACGCCCCACCGGCTCCCAGCGCGTATTTGGCAATTCCCGCCCTCCTCTGATCCGCCTGCACAACGACCGCCGCTCTCCTCGTCGACCGCAAACATTCGTAGTATATTCAGCAGACCGTTCGTACACTAGTACAGAGCGCAGGCAGCAGCCCCGCGGCGAGTCCTAGCTTCGACCACACATCACGTATCTAACGTAAACAGCGCCCTCCCGTCCCATCGGCACGTCCTCCTCGGACCCTCTGTATGAGTTTGAGTCTGAGTCAGACTCATCCGTGCAGGCCTCCTGGCCTTGCTCCCGGCCCCCGAACGAATCGGCACAGATGTACGAGCCGCGCAGGCAGTATCTACGCATCTTTCGTGCCCCGCGTCAGCTCATCCAGCCCCTCGTCGTGGCTCCAGAATGCCGACGCTTTGCCCTCTGAGCTACCCTCACTCCCGACCTCCGCAGCGTTATCTTCCGCACTAACCACGTCCGCGACCCCGAGGCTCCGAAGATACTGCTCCTTCACAACCGTCTCGACCCGTTCTGCCTCGCGTTCCTCCGTGCTCCCGCGCCAGAGCACACGCTCGAGCGTGTGCCGCACGAGCATCCGCAGGAGCATGTACCCGTGCGACGCCGCGAGCGCAATGAGCAACGCCGACATGAGGTACTCCTCCGTCGACGCGCTGGGCGTGCTCAGATGTCGGTGCGCGTGTGATAGCGTCGTGCCGACCGGCTTGCAGTGGTCTCGCGGGCGGAAGAGGTACACCAGCGCCGAGTTGGTCAGCGCCCCCAGCCAGGTTAAGAACGTTAGAGTGTCGAGCCAGGGCCCGATCGTGTCAGTGCGCGTGGGGATGGGCCGGCGGACGTGCACAGTGATCTTGAATGCGTCGCCACGAAGCTCCAGCCAGTTATTCACGAGCGCCATCACTATAATTATGGGTCAGTGACGTCTTAAGGGGTTGAGCGGAACGTGCTACGTACCTGGTGCCAGCGGCCAGATAGTTGACCACAACGTGACGTAGCCAAACTGGGTGACCATCTCGCTGTAGTCGGAGAAGAGGTCGTAGTCCGGGAGCGCGACCTCCCTGTTCACCCGGTCAAGGAACTCCCGCTCCTCCTCCTGGTTCGCAAGTCGTTCCGCTTCCGCTTCAGCCGTCTGATCCTCAAACATGACCCGCTTCTTCTTTCCATTCCCATTTCCACCGTTTGCTCCAGCAGCAGGGGCAGCGAGCGAAAGGCCTTTTCCGCTTCGCAACGATTCCACCGCGCGCAGGATAAACGGAAGTCCGATTTCGGTGAACGTGCCAATCACTTGGTTAGTTACGGTAAACGCAAACATCTGATCTTGAAGGCGTGTCGAGCTGAGCTTGCCCCGTGCGTTGCTAGTGTCTTTCTCCCAGAATGTACGGCTGGAGCCACCGCCTGAACCTTTGGTGTCGACTGTAGCATTGAATGGCGCCGTGACATTCAACGGCAAAGCCGAGAACACCGATGATAGCCAGATCCTGGCAGTTGCATGGAGCGGCGTATGCCGGTAGAAGAGGTAGTGCTGCACGGAGGCCATGACCTCCTCACCAAATGGCACATATATGAATGCTGAAAGCGCGATACCGAGATACGCCACGATCGCGGAGAGACTGAACGTCTTGACAGTTAGAGACCCATCATGGGTGGATTGATGCCCGTGGTTCTCCCAGTTCGTGAGACGAACCGCATAAGAATGATAGATAGCCAGGACTCTTGGCACAAGGGCAACGAAGAGGATCGTCGGGCTGAAACCCTGCGATATGATGGCCTTTAGAAGATGCGAGCTATATGCGTATTGAAGCTTACGATGAATCGGTGACCCGGACCAGTGTACAGGTGAGTGACAAAGGCCTCGAAGACGAAGATCCCGGTGAGAATTGTGGCAAGCACAGATGCGAAGAGTAAGAAGACGGGCAGGCTCGCGAGTAGCCTTAAGTCTTTCCTCCACCAGGCGAGTGGGACGTATTGCGCCCTACGCTTTTCCACGCGGAAAGAGCCTTTGGTACCCCAGCGGACTGACAGTACCCTTTGCTTGATTCGCCACCATTCGACAAATGTCACAGACCACAGAAGGAGGATGGAGGAGTATAGAGTCGAGTAGGGTAGAGCGAGGAGATAGAAGAGCACCCCGACGGCCGAGATAAATAGTAGGTGTTTGGTGTAGAACGAGAGGAAATGGAAGTAGAGTGCGACGGCTTCTCCGAACTACTCACTGTTAGCATACACGAAATACCGTTGCCGCATCGCAGCCACGCACCTGTTCTCGAATCTTATCGAACTTGACGAATCCAAGCTGGCGCGTTGTCCATGCGCGGATCCAGGATTCATTGAATGTGTGGTCGTGTAGAACCATTACAGATTCGATGCGGTCCCAGCTTGAAGAACCTGGTGCAACCCCCAGGCCACCGTCGGCAGGAGTAGACGTGACATAGGTGTGCACCAATCTCAGCCTATCTGCGGCACTAAGGGGCTCTTCATTGAGGTCTCGAGTACCGGTGGGGTTCGTTGTGGGCAGGCCACACAAGAAATCCGAGTATCTTGAGTTGCAGAGCTAAGGGGAACTGCGAAACCATGACGGATCCAGAGAAGAGACGTACCGTTCTCGCCGCACGAGACGCGTGAGAGTGCTCTGCGGGCAGTGAACGAGGACCAGGAGTTGGCCTTCCTTCTCACCACGCTTCCCCACGACATGCAGCCGTCCGTTCTTGAACACTTCAAGGAGGCGCGTGTACTGCTGGGCTGCCTGTCGTGCATTTTCGCGCGCCTGTGGCTTGGAGAGCACCTTCCCTGGAGACGAGCGGAATATCAGGACGAGGTCGACTTGCGGTGCCATTTCTCGAATTGAGAAGGGGGTTCTGAGCTGGAGGAACGATAGGAGGGCGGGGACAAGCCCGTTGACGGAAGGCAACTGGGGTATGACTTCACAGGTACGTTGGGGGATACACGAGGCTCCAGTGCGCTCGCAGTCGACGAGGGTGGCGTTGGCGTGCCTCGAAGTATTATCGAGTCAAGATCATCCGCTCGTTGCAAACGTCAGCGCAAGAGATAGGAAAGTTACGAGAACGTTGCGCGAGTCGCTGAGCGAAGTCGTTCAGACTGGAGGAGCGTCCGGCCGAAGAGCACGAGATGAGACAGCTGAGCGGCGGTGACATCAGTGTGAGGTGATTAGTCGTTGCGAATCCTGTACCTGTCAAGCACCTTGCACAACAAGCCTGGATGGCTCAGTTGGTTAGAGCGCAGGTCTCATATTTCTGATATGACCACTTCTTAGTGGGTAATCCTGAGGTCGTGAGTTCGATCCTCACTCCGGGCAGATTTTTTTACTTGCAATACAAGCGACTTCTAATCCTTGCGATGGGGTCGAGTTAGGCGGCCCTCATGGGTGGACAATGTATGGCACCATGGGGACCAAAGCATAGAATTAGATACAGACATTCCAATCCACGCATACACGATTGTGTCCGTAAGACATTACTGTGCTGCCAATGCACTTCATCCGACAATATCTGTCATCATGCAGGTGCCCCTACTCCCTGTGGCCCAGCCTGCGGATTCTGCCCTCCACCTGCATTGATGTTCATCCCGGCAAACTGATTCGCCAGCCCAAAGTATTGCTGGCCAGCCACTGGAGGACCTTCGCCAGCCACCGGTGAGGCCGCGCCGACAGGCGCATAAGGAGACGCTCCATACCCGCTCGGCTGGGAGGCGGTTGGTAGCGGTTGACCTGCATCCTGGCCGTCCACCCCTGGATGCCCTTTGTGGATGCTGAGCGGGGCGATCTGTCCGACCTGTCCTGGAGTAGCTGCGTCTTGGCCAACCGAATCGGCTGACTGCGCACGCGAGACCGATGGTTGAGGTTGACCGGCGGGAGGGCCCTCCTTCACACCTGGCACAGAGATGAAATAGACCGCGCCGGTAGGATCGGTGCCGCCATGCGAGTAATACTGCGCCCATGCTTGCACGTTGGGGTCAGGGTACGTGGCATCCGGTTCGTAGACGTACGGGGGCCCACTCCGCGGCTGGGACGGGTTGGGCGACGACTGTTCCTGAGGTTGGTTCTGAGGCTGAGCTTGATGCTGTGGCTGAACCTGGATTGATGCTGGCGCCTCAGCTTGATGCTCCGGCTGGGCTTGAGGTTCGAGCTGAGGCTGAGCTTGGGGTTGAAACTGCGGCTGAGCGTGTGGTTGAGACTGAACTTGTGGCTGAAGCTGGACTGAGAACGGAGCCTGAGCCTGAGCCTGAGCCTGGAAAGGCTGCTGCTGCTGAGGCTGGACCTGTGGCGCAGGTTGAACCGTCTGCTGAGGCTGGTAGTGAGACTGAGGCTGAGGTGCCTGCTGTTGAGGCTCGGGATGCTGCTGTCCGTACTGCGGACCGGGCTGGTGGCCGATGGGAGGCCCTGGTTGCTGCCCCTGCACAATCAGGCTGCCAGGATAACCTTGCGCCTCCGGTGGGGGCGCATACGGGCTCTGACCGGGATACACTTGTTGGGGAGCTGGGTTGTACGTTGATTGAGGACGAGCAGGATAAGCATTAGGATCAGCGTAAGGTTGTGGTTGCGCGGGAGGGTGCGGCTGAGTAGGAGGGTAGGCTCCATCTTGAGCATAAGCGCCAGCAGCAGCCGGGTAGGCGTTATACCCTGGTTGCTCATATACGCTCGGGTTCCATCCGTACGCTTGCGGAGCACCAGGTACCACCTGGGGACCTCCAGCAGGGGGATACTCCTGACGAGCCCGAGAATCTGGGCGTGCGATGTAGGGTTGACTTGGAGTCTGGATATAGCTTGGGCGCCCGTCGTATACTGGTACCAAGGGGGATAAGCGTTGCAAACGTGTCGGAGATTGACCGAAGCGTACCTCCGGTATGGCGCGCAAGACTATCTTCCATCATTCTATCAAAGATAGTCCTCGCTTTGACGAATGTCTCGTTCATCGACACCAGGTCGGCTGCGTATTAGTAGATTAGTACTGTCGCCTACTATCAACCTCGCGGAAAGTGACCTCTTTTCTGGCTGTACTTGTCGATCAGTTTTACAATCTTGGGGCGCAGCGACATGCAAGACCGGTAGAGCTCCTGATACGAGTTCAGCTTTCCTTCATATCCATGACCGTTGATGCTAGCTTTAGCGCACCTGGATCTCTTCGTTGTCCGCCAGATTGTCGCGGGCAGGGTCCATGTTACGTAGCATTGTCAACAATCTGTCAACATTTGCAGCCTGCGAGAATACGGCAGCCTCCTGTTCGGCCTCTCTGGCAATCTCAGCTGCCGTAGGCTCCGGTAGCGGTTCCTTTACCCATATTGCGGCTCAGATGCCAGTTTGTGAAGTTCAGATGCATAACATACCACATAATTGACCGGAAATATACCCGTACGGCCCTTCAGTTGGCCTCGCCACCAATCCTTGTAGTTGCGGTCGACGACTTTGATGATGTCTCCCCTCTCAAATGCAAGTTCTCCGGGCTCCGACGGCTCGAAAGTATGCAACGCGCGAACTCGAGTAACGATGGGTATAGTGTCCTGCGTTGAGTGTACCGAGACCGGAGAGCTGCTGGTAGCGGGTACGTTAACCGGAACAGCCGGGGACGCCGAGGGTGGAGTGACACTGGAGATAGCGGGCGTAGCTGATGAAGGAACATAACCCCCATACGTAGGGGTTTGGTTGGAGTTCTGAATGGGTCGCGAAGACGCCCCAGAGGGACCAGGGGTGGCAGAAGATGCTTGCCGCGAGCTGCCGGCTCCCGACCCACTAGCACCGCTTGAGGAAGCCAAGGAATACGCTTCCCACTGAGACCTTCCACCTTTATCTTGCATGGAGATCTCTAGGGCACGTTGTAGCTCCTCCTCCTCTCGGCGGCGGACTTCATCGTCAACGTCTGGAGGTGGGGGCTCATCGGGAGTCTCGAACTTATATCCTACCAAGCATTGTTCCTTATGAAGCTTAGGCTTTAGCGTAGAGTAGTACACACACACCTTTCGACTTCAAATTCTCATAGCACTCCTCCATAAGGCCAAGCGTAGGGTCCTTCTCAAACTCGGCGGTCCAGACCGCCACCATACCAAGTACACGTTTCCGCACTTTGTCATGGGTAGTCTTGAAACGTCGGTTAATAAGTTGCAGATACCTTCGAACAGCACAAAGTCCCCATACCCGATCAGTGACAAGCTTCTCCAGAGCTTGAGTAAACGCGCGCGAGGCAATCTCGCGATGCACATCGATGCCACAGTTTTTAGACAAGGCTTCAACCAGGGCAAGGGTATACAACTGAACGTTGGGGTTACGATGCGCTAACCGCTTCAATGACGCTGCGATCACATTCCGGGCTCTGCGATTGAGGGAACTCGGTTATTACACAGCCGGGGGAGATCTCTATGGTGATTACGCACCCCTGCTCGCCCTCCTCTTGCACTTTATCGCATAAGTTCAAAATCAACTCCCAGTTCTCGCCGGTGAGGTTCTCGTCCGTGGTCTTGACTAAAGAGACATGTGTACGTCAATATCAAATGCGTGCCTCAACAGCAGTCGCAGGCGATACTCACCGACGATCTCGTCGTACGCGTTGGGTTGGCCACCTCTAAACATGCCTCGTCGTCGTGCAGGATCTCGTCGTGGTGAAGGAAGGAGAAGGAGATGATGGAGCGCTGCGTGGGCGACTGCGGGAGCCCCGAGCACGGCGACTCCGCCGGATTCGAAGTCATTGAGCCGAGGCAGTGACGGTCCGGCCAATGCCGGCCTTGCTTGATTGGGACGCGGCGCCACTCCGTCCGCTGCTTCACGCTCCTCGTACCGCTCCTTGTCCTTGTTTTGCTTTGCTCACGACTACAACCATGGCCAAGAGTTTGTAGCACCTATTTGAATCGCGTATGCTTGGTTCTGACATCACGCGCAGTACCACGCAATTTCCGCCTGCTTGAGGAGCTCGAGAAGGGCGAGAAGGGCATCGGCGATGGCTCGTGCTCCTACGGTTTGGAGGACTCGGACGATATCATGATGAGCCACTGGAATGGCACTATCATTGGCCCTGGACACGTTAGTTGACCTTTCTCTCTCTTTCTTCCGTGATCGGGGCTATCGCATCTCGTCGAGTAGCTGACGCCTACCTTCACTAGACCGTACATGAGAACCGCATTTACAGCCTCAAAATCACATGTGGCGAGAACTACCCCGACCAGCCCCCCACAGTTCAATTTATTTCCCGCGTGAACCTCCCCTTCGTCAGCCCAGTCGACGGCAAGGTCGACCAGAACAAGCTCCCAGTTCTCGCGCACTGGAACCGGAACAGTAGTATTGAGACTGTCCTAGTAGAGATCAGGAGGTGAGTACGCACGGTATCGACTTGCCAATGAGATTTATTGACTTCCGATATACAGGGAAATGGCGTCATTCAATAACCGCAAGCTCCCCCAGCCACCGGAGGGTAGCACTTTCTAATGGTCAAATGGACGCTAGCAATCACACGAGTTTGAGTCGTCTGTGTACATCTTGTTACGATGAGTACTGTGTTTTTAGTATCAATCAAGCATCTCCAACTGTGGCATACATTGACTTATACGGCTTCATATTTGAAATGGGACAAGGGTCTGAAAGACTGACCGTGCACGTCCAATGAGTGGGCACGGAACATGACTCTTGCACGTGTTTTGTTACGTAGCACCTCATAAAATCCCCTTTTTTGGGTACATCCCTCAGTTTCTTACTAGTAAAGCTTAAGACCGAGGCCATTCTCATATTCTGCAGGCAAACATGAAAACCTAACAAAATGTCGGAGAGCGAGAGGGTGTAAATCTGTGTCTTCAACCCTGAATCCAATCACCATGCCGGCTCTCCAGTACGGTATCCCCGAGTCTACCAGACTCCAGACTTCGTACTAGTAGTGGTAGTGGTAAGCAGAGGTTGTGTTATTTTGTGGATCCGGCCATCTCGCATTCCGATCTTGTCGGGACTGCGCGCGCTTCTCGGTCAACGCGGCATGCGACAACCAGTCTCGGCAAGTCGCAGCCTTCTCAGTCTAACTACATCGTCCCAGGCTTATTGTTTTATCTCTCCACAAAATATGCTATCCCCCGACCTCTTGTAATCATTTCCTCATTAACGAACGCTTGACGAGAACCAGAAGAGCGTACTCTATGGCTGCCCCCACCATTTCTGCTGCCCAAGCGGTGGGCGAGTACTTGCAGTCTCCTGACGACTTGGCGAAGGTCGCTGCGTTTCGCAAAAAACTAGAGAAGGAGAAAGCTTCTATCGACGCGAGACTAAGGAGCGGCGTCAAGGAGCAACTCGACGCGACGCGCGATGGACTACGAAAGCTGTTCAGCACG